CAATTGTTGGCGTACAAGGTTAAAAGAGATGAATAGAATGAGAGAATATATTTCCACTCTGCAAATGACGACTACAAAAGATTATAAGAAACAAAATTAAAAGTGACATTTACCACTAGTCTATATATACTTAGAAAAACTAAGACCACATAGACAACATAATAAAATACTAAAATATCCTCTAACAAATTTGATCATAAAATTTATAAAATATAAATTATTTCTAACAAATTATTCCAGCCAAAACTATATGACCTACATAAATTATCTTTGCTTAAGTTATATCTCCAGTAATGTGTAGTTTTTCTACAATTGAAAATACATATGATGCCCCATGCTCGTGTCGATTCTCTATTTTTTTTTAGCATCTTTCATATATCATTTTCTCTATTGACATAGGTATGCTCCCTCTAAGTATGGCTCATCGCTCCTAAATAATTTAGGGCATGGGGGATTGTTTGACATGAGTCACAATGCACTACATATGTTTCCCAATGATTGGAGCATGTTGTGTAAACCGAATACAATTGTGATGTATGATATCATAAAGACATAAAGTAATCCATTCATTATTTGATATCAAGAAACTTTGCTATGATCAAGACATGGCCACAACAACAATATTGTTTGTACACAGACTACTTTAATATCTTATCCTTCATTTGTTCCTTTCACAAGGACAATAACTCATGGCTATTGCCTCTTAAATTTCAGTTTCAATGTCACATTTTTTTGGTACAAGTAAGATGCAGCATATGCATATGCTTATGGTATGGTACTATAGTACTTTGGTCCCATTCAGTTTATTCCTTAAATTAAATCCAACTTTGAATAAGTATTGGTTTTAAGATGAGATTTTTTGTTTTCTTTTCATTTGAAATGCATGATTGTTTCAACCATTGACATTCCAAGAAGCTTCTGCATGCACTCACTCTAACAAAGTTATAGAATCTAATTCCTTCCTTTTGGGAAATGCATCATCTCATGTTACTGTGTGATGGAAACCATGTTCTTCCTATATTTCTGAATTTTCTAATATAGTTTTTTACGGATTAATTTGATGAACAAGAATAAAGTTTCTCAACAACAAAGCAAATTAAAATTTGTAATATAATACTCTAGATGCTGTGCAATTCAACTATTTCAACATTGTACAAAGCAAAGTCAAATTTGTTATCACATTTTATAACACCTTATAAATTATGTTGTTAATTAAGACCTACTGAATTAGGGCTAGTTTGTTTTAGTTTTTAAAAAATGAATTTTTTATTTTTATTTTTGAAAATGGATTATAAAATAAATATTTTTCAAAATATTACATGTTTTTTCAAAATGGATCATAGTTTTTTCAAAACTTTGTATTTCAAAAATGATTTTTACGAAAAGCTATTTGTAATAGTTTCAAAATTAATTGATTTTTTTAAAAATTTTGATATCCAAATTTTTTTTTCCAACAAAATTAAAGAAATACATAAAATAACATTTTAAAATTAACTATTCAAACCAAATTTTCATTTGAAATTTTTATATAAATTTTTGTTTTTTTTTAATTTTTTTACACAAAAATGTATTACATCATAATCACTATTTTAAATGTAAAATTAATAATATTTTTATAGAGATTAATTGTTATGCATTATTAATGTAAAAAATTTTACATTGTCAATGCATAATAATCATCTGTTAATATTATTTTTCAAGTAGTTAAAATTAAAATCAAACTTTTTAAACAAATTAACATTTGTGATTAACAGACTGTATAAAACAAATTTACATTATCCGTATATATAATAAAATTCATTTTTATATATGATTAATCTAATGTCGCGAGTGTTAATGAAAAAATAGTATATGAAACATTTTCCAATGTAATATTTGGATCCTCTTCAAGTAGTGTTTTTATCACATCCCAACGCTATATTCACCCTAAAAATGGAGAAGCTCCAATTTATAGGACAAGACAAATTCATCGTGGGCAAGTATTCCATTGAGAATACAAACACACACTAAAAATATACTTACAATTTTTCTAATTTTGTTTAATTCTTTAATTTTTTTTAGTTTAACTAAATAATTTTAAAAATAATTTCTTTAGGGACACGTAAAAAATATAGATTAACTCCATAAATATACCTCTTATAATAAAAGACTAAAAATATTTGATATGCCTGTGTTTAAACTATCTATTAAAAAAAAAGTTAATTCAGTATATAATAAATTGATTAATACAATAATAATATCATGTTTGGATTAATAATTTATTTGCATCTTATATCACAAGTGTTAATCAAAATAAAGGTTTATAAATAAGATCGAATAATTATTTTTTAACAAAAAATAAAATAAATTTAAATTATTTTTATTAGTTATCTTGAAAATTTTATAAAAATGAATTTAAAAAATGAATTAAAAAATGGAAGAAAATGTAATAAGCTGATTTTGATTAAATCTCAAAGTAGATATACTAAAGTAAACCATCCAAAGAGACCCCAAGTTGTATAAGTTCTCATATATTAATTTTTTTTTACCAAAAATTACATTTGAACTCTCTTTTTTGAATCCTAGAGTTTCCTCAGTAAATTCTGTGTCCAAGAAGCAACAAAAAGAAAATCAATAATGAAGTGTTAATGTCAAGTGTCAAGTGGGAAAGCAAGAGAAGACATAGAATGTTTGTACATAAGAGAAACTAAATTGTTTGCACTTGTTGGATTTTATAGGCAAACACTAAGCTATACTCATTTATAACAGCAACAATAAGGTCCTCCTAGACAGTGACTCCTCAAAGAGAAAAAATATACACTAGTGGTGCATGTTGAATTGAAACAATAGCACTCTTTTCAATGACATCAACTGTCATACATTTTCCTTTCAACCTTGTGAATGAATGAATCACTTCATAACATTCAATAGCACTCTTTTCCATGTTTCTTTTTCTTTTTCATCAACAACATTATCCTCACTTTTACTTTTCAACCCTCTCTTTAAGACTATTCCATTCATTTATCTGAATATATTAAATTAATCCAACTTATAAATATACCATTTTATTGATAATTGGTGTCTGCTCTATAGGACAAAGAAAGAATAAAGTTGAAAAAAATAAAAGCTTCTTCCATGCAATGGAATAATTATATATTGATCATTCAAACTCATCATTTATTAATAATCAACCCATCATAACTTTACTTCTTACAATCTCTGCATTTTTCAGGCACATGTTTTGTAATTCCAAGGTCTTATTACTAAAAGAGAGAGGTTCAATATTGTGACACTGTCATCTGTTGATAGTACATTACACTTTGCTTGGGAACACAAACTCATACAATCACATCTAGGATATTAGATACTACTACACACACTTGCATTTAATTTATCATTTATTGCTCACCCAATCATACTTCGACACATATGCCACAGACACTATGGGCTTGACAATACATAAACTATCATAAACCAATCAAACTGATCTTGGGTTTTTAGAGCAATGTTTAGGCATGACAAAATATATAATAATTTATTTAATTACGATTTAATCATATAAATATATATTTGATTATAGTTTAGCAATAGTAAATTTTAAGTATCCAAAGAAAACACTAAAACTCTAATAATAAATACTTTTTAAGAGTGATTTGATTTAGACAAACAAACTAGATCTAGAGAGCAATGGTAGAGGATGATTTGCAAGCTAAATGTTCCGAGTTGGATTTAAGGGCGGCATACAGACATAACATTCCATTTAGACCCATTTTATAAAAGTTCACAAAAAATAAGATCGTTCGATTATAATTGAGGTTATGAGCTTAAAACTTAAATAAAGTCGATTGATTATAGTTGATATTATAAAATTAATACTTTAATCCACCTCAAAAAAATGCGAGTAGTGTAGCTGGTGAACATTACATATATTTATTCTAAAAATACAAAATATTATCTTAATATTCGCACCAACAAAAAAATTCTTTAAAAAACATGACAAACACATTATAGGCAACGAGTCTAAATTCTTTGTCTGATTTGTCTGTTCCATACTAAAGTTTGGGCAAAAACCAACTTACCAAATAGACCAGCCTCATTTTGCACCCTTAGTTGGAATTACAAGTGTCATATAATAAATAATTATGTATTTGATTTATATATTAATTATTTAATAAATTAAAAAAAAACTTAATTTTATTTATAAACGAAGCTATACAATTTTGTGTCCCACTAGCCACTATATACTGTTTGGTTTGAGACAGTCCTGGTGGCAACCACTGATTGCATTACTCACTTTCCATCTTTTCTATTTTCTTTTTCAAATAAAAATATTCATAGCATTCTACTATGGTGGAAAGATATGCATTTTGATTCATTGAAAGTGCAATTCCATCACCTCTATCATTCAAAGCAATAAAGAAGACTAGTAAAAGAGCTACTATACTTTGATTTGATTAAAGCTAAAGGGTATTTTTGTCATAAAAAATAACTAAAGAAAGCATCATCAACTTTTACTTTTGTTCATTTCTTAACATAATCTAATCTTTAAATTTCTGTTATCCAACGGCTTTATTAAAAACCAACACCAAAACCAAAACCAAAAAAAAGTTGATGATTAATTTTTTTCAGCTATTTAACAATTTTCACAAAACCATTTGTTTCCTTTTTCTTATTATGCTTTCTTCTTTTCCATAAAGCAAAAATATAAATAACACACAAAGTGATATATGTAGCTATATTCATCTTCTTCTTTGTTCTTTGCTCTCAAAGATAAAGATAGTAAAAGAAAGTTAAAGAGAGAAAAGAGAGAAAAGAAAAGGAAAGGTTTAGCTTATTCTCTTCCTTGTATTTCAAGACTCTTTCCTTTCAACATGTTTGATTCCATTTCCACAACCATAACTATAACTTCTTCATGTACTCACACTCTTGAAGTTTCTCATATTCTTCTCACTTTTCTTCTTCCCTTTTTCAAAGTTTTTATAACACTCTTTCATCTTTGTTAAACAAAACCACATTCCAAAATGATCCCATTTACCTTAATTTTCTTCACTCTGTTTTCTGCTCTGTTTTCCTCTGTTTTTTCATCATCCTTGCTTACTGATTTTCATGCTTTAGTCAATCTTAAACAAGGTTTTAAATTCTCAAACCAAGTTCTGAACTCATGGGAAGGTTCAAATTTCACTGCAGTTTGTTCTTGGGGTGGAATTCAATGCCGCGAGAATCGAGTCGTCTCCGTCGAGTTAACAGATTTGAATCTGTTTGGCTCTGTTTCACCTGCAATCTCATCACTTGATAAACTCACACACCTTTCTCTAGCGGGAAACAACTTCACCGGAATTATTGACCTCACAAACTTAACCAGTCTTCAGTTTCTAAACATCTCCAACAATAATTTCAGTGGCAACATGAATTGGAACTTCTCCACCATGCAAAACCTACAAGTTGTTGATGTCTATAACAACAATTTCACTTCATTGCTTCCTTTAGGACTTGTTACCTTGAAACAAACCCTCAAACACTTGGATCTTGGTGGTAACTTTTTCTTCGGCGAAATCCCGAAAAGATTCGGAGAATTTGCTTCTCTTGAGTATCTTTCACTAGCTGGAAATGACATCACAGGAAAAATCCCTGGTGAGTTGGGAAATCTAAGCAACCTGAGAGAAATTTACTTGGGCTATTACAATTCCTTTGAAGGTGGAATTCCGAAAGAGTTTCGAACTTTAACAAATCTTGTTCATATGGATCTTTCAAGCTGTGATTTAGATGGTTCAATCCCAAAAGAGTTAGGTGAATTGAAGAAACTTAACACACTTTACTTGCATATAAACCAGCTTTCAGGTTCATTACCAAAACATCTTGGTAACTTAACAAACCTTCTCTACCTCGATCTTTCGAGCAATGCGCTCACCGGTGAAATTCCGTTTGAGTTCGTGAATCTCAGAAATCTTAAGCTGTTTAATCTTTTCTTGAACAGGTTACATGGTTCTATCCCGGATTACATTGCGGATTTTCCTGATTTAGAAACACTTGGTTTATGGATGAACAATTTCACTGGTGAAATTCCATATAAACTTGGTCTCAATGGGAAGATTCAAGTGCTTGATTTGTCTTCCAACAAACTCACCGGTGTTATTCCGCCGCATCTTTGTTCTTCAAACCAGCTCAAGATTTTGATTCTTCTTAACAATTTTCTCTTTGGTCCTATACCAGAAGGTTTAGGAACATGTTATAGTCTCACTAGAGTGAGATTAGGAGAGAATTACCTTAATGGTAGTATTCCGAATGGTTTTCTTTATCTTCCTAAGCTAAATTTAGCTGAGTTGAAGAACAATTACTTGTCAGGAACATTGTTAGAAAATGGTAACGGTTCGTCTTCTTCGTCTTTGTTTTCTCAATCTCAATCTCAGCCTGTTTGTTTACAACAGCTTGATTTGTCGAACAATGCTTTGTCTGGTCCTTTACCGCATTCGCTCTCGAATTTCACTTCACTTCAAATACTTTTGCTTAGTGGAAACCACTTTTCGGGTCCGATTCCGAGTTCTATTGGAGGACTTAACCAAGTGTTGAAACTTGACCTTAGTAGAAACTTGTTATCGGGTGAAATTCCGTCCGAAATCGGAAACTGTGGTCATCTTACCTACCTTGACATGAGCCAGAACAATCTTTCTGGCTCGATTCCTCAATCGTTTTCGAACATTCGTATTTTGAATTACTTGAACTTGTCTAGAAACCATTTGAACCAAACCATACCAAAGTCAATAGGAACATTGAAAAGCCTCACAGTTGCTGATTTCTCCTTCAATGAATTCTCCGGTAGATTGCCCGAATCGGGCCAATTTTCGTTCTTTAATGCGTCTGCGTTTGCAGGGAATCCTAAACTATGTGGTTCTCTATTGAACAATCCGTGTAAATTAACAGGAATGAAATCCACGCCAGGAAAAAAAACCAATGCAGATTTCAAGCTGATATTCGCGCTCGGCCTATTGATGTGTTCGTTAGTCTTTGTTATCGCGGCCATTATAAAAGCCAAGTCATTCAAAAAGAATGGTCCTGGTTCTTGGAAGATGACTGCTTTCAAAAAGCTCGAGTTCACCGTTTCAGACATCCTCGAATGCGTGAAAGACGGTAACGTGATCGGAAGAGGAGGAGCAGGCATAGTTTATCACGGAAAAATGCCAAATGGTGTGGAAATAGCAGTAAAAAAACTACTTGGGTTCGGTGCGAATAGCCATGATCATGGTTTTAAAGCTGAAATTCAAACACTTGGAAACATAAGACACAGAAACATAGTGAGGCTACTTGCATTCTGTTCAAACAAAGAAACAAATCTTCTTGTGTATGAATACATGAGAAATGGAAGCTTAGGTGAAGCATTGCATGGAAAAAAAGGCGCATTCTTGAGTTGGAACTTTCGGTACAAAATATCTATTGATTCTGCTAAAGGACTATGCTATCTTCACCATGATTGTTCTCCATTGATCCTACACAGAGATGTGAAATCTAACAACATTTTGTTGAGTTCGAATTTCGAAGCACACGTGGCTGATTTCGGGCTAGCAAAATTTTTGGTTGATGGTGCTGCATCAGAATGCATGTCTTCAATTGCAGGATCATATGGTTACATTGCACCAGGTAACTTCTCTTTTCTCACATGCCTTTATTTGTTTTTTACTACTAGTGTTTTCTTTCTATTTTTTCGAATTCACGCACCATATTCAATAGAACATACTACCGCAGCGCAGTTAAAAAGTCAGCGTTCTACCATCTGAGCTACTATTAAATATATTTTATAGAAATAATTAGAAAAATAAATAAAATTCTTTAACATTGTGCATGTGATCTATGATTTTATTAATTTGCACGACTTGGGCAATGATAAAAAATGGGGTGATTATGATTTTAATGATGACAATCCATGAGAGTATAGATGCATAATCATAATGATTAAAAATCTTTAATGATGTTGCTTACACAATGATAAAGTGAGAGGAATGGCATAGGTGGATTGGGTTGAAAGAATGATGAATACAAGTGTTAAGATGGAATTTTATTGAGAAATGAAAAAAGGAATAGTTTTGGAACACGATAAAATGTTTTTGCAGTGGTGAGAGTGTCTGTGAGACTGAGACACTGCCCTTAATTCATTGGGATGGGACCCGTCTTAAGAATCCAACATACAGAGATCAACCTGACACTTCATCTCTCCACTCCACCCATCCTTCTTTTCTTTTTTTATTTGCTAACTTGTCATAATTTTGTCTTGGACTAATTTGTATCTTTAGAGTCAACTTTTGTTCTCAAACATTCTTAAAATACTGTTTCTTTTAATTTTTATATTATTCTTTTAAAAACTCTCTCCACCATTGACCCGACAAGATTATACTTTAAAAAGTCGGTGGTCGAATCAGATGGTCATATGTTAAAATTATATTTATATATTAAATCAAGTTGAATCGGACGATTTGATCTTTTAACAATTTTTAAAAATACTCGATTTCAATAATAAGTTCAAACTAACTACTCATCTGATTTAATTGTGACAAATTTAAAGTCTACGCATTAGTCTGTTTTTGCACGATTCAGAGTGATCTTTTTTTGTAAACTCTAGTTAGGGTTTTATCTTTCCTTTTTTTTCTTCAATACTAAGTAACAATTTGGTTGATCTTGATAAATTACAGAATATGCTTATACATTAAGAGTGGATGAAAAAAGCGATGTCTATAGTTTCGGAGTAGTTCTACTAGAACTTCTAACTGGTAAAAAACCAGTTGGCGATTTCGGAGAAGGTGTAGATCTTGTACAATGGTGCAAAAAAGCAACAAGTGGAAGAAGAGAACAAGTGATCAACATAATAGATTCAAGACTCATGGTTGTGCCAAAAGAAGAAGCCATGCACATGTTCTTCATTGCAATGTTATGTTTAGAAGAAAACAGTGTTCAAAGACCAACTATGAGAGAAGTTGTTCAGATGCTTTCTGAATTTCCAAGACAATCACATCAACAAGATCAACAATCTTCTTCATGTTCTTCATCTTCTAGTATTAATCCACCAAGCAAAAAGTTAATTCAGAATCATAAATTACCTTGTTCTCCTACTTTTAAACATGATCTTTTGGTTTAATTTAATTCAAATCAAGTTTCTTTTTTCTTTTTTCAAGTAAATTTTAATGTTCATTATATATATTTTGGCCTTGCTTTTGTTTAGAATAGAGATTTGATAACTAAAGGGGTGTAGGAATGAATAATTACTAAGGACTGGTGTAGGTAAGTTAATTAGGTTGATGAAGCTCAAAATCATAGTGGGTTCATGAATCCTAGTTCTTCACTTGTATTTATTTTATTTTGTAAAATATAATATATATACATGTCAAAGTTGATTATCCTAATATTGTGTTTTTTTTAAGTATAAATCAAATACTTTTTTAGCACAACTACATTAAATTAATCTCTCGTAATAAAAAGACTACAATAAACAATATTAGAAAGTAACCCTCCATTCTTTTTATAAGTGTCACTTTTGAAATATTTTTTAATCTTTTTTAATTGTTACTTGTAAAATTTAAGGTAATATTAAATGCATTTTTATCAAAATTACCCCTATATAATTATTACAGAGAGAAAAAAAATAAAATAAATGTAATAAATAATTAAGGGTATTATAGGTAAAATGATAATTACTGTATGAAAAATAAGAATATTGATTAGCTTTCTTGATATGCATAAAAAATTAAAAGGTGACATTTAAAAAGAAATGGAGGGAGTAATATTTAGCATTTAGAAAGTAATACGCTAAATTGTTCCATCAAAAGATTTGAAATTGAATACCAAAAAAAGGGGGGAAATTAATTAATTTACAGAAGTATTTCATAATTAGAATTATTTTCGTTTAGTTTGTGTGTTGAGAGTGTACATGAACTTAATAAACACTATAGTGTTGGCCGAGCCCAATTTTGTTTGGGAAAAGGCCAGTGCAGAAACTACTAGATCCAAATGGGAGAATTCTACCTGACACCTCCCAAATTAAATTTGACACCCCCATAGTTTAGATGATTTGACAAAACGTAAGATTTTTAAAAAATAATATAGTAAGATTTTGGATTTTTGAGGAATTTACCTTATATTCACAAGTAAACATTTTTTTTTTGCATTTGATAAGTTTTTACCGGATTTTTCGCATACTCATAAAATTTTTGGTATATATGTATGATTTACATCATAAAATTTTTTTTTTATGTTTTACCGTATTTTTCAAAACAATTCTAATATAACTCATATGAATTTGTACTGATATCTTTGCAAAGGATATATAGGGGGAGATATAAGATTCACTATATGCAAGAGGAAAATATTCATCGTCCAAAGCAAGGTTACTAGTCGCCCACTTGTTACTATAAGCATCCGTTTATAACAATGTGGGTCCATTTCCTAGTTATATCGCATATTGCCTGTGTTACTCACCTGTTTTGCAAAACATGGAAATTGACGTGTCCTTATCCATAACAATATGGGGGAGGAAGTTAAAAAGGAAAAGTCGCTTTCTCTATAATAATAGGAGAAATAACTACATATTTTTCACACTTCTAAGAGTGGAAGGTACGAGTATTTCTTTCTTGGATTCTAAAACCTAGACCCAAGTGGTTTCTATAAATTCCTTCACCTAAGGTTAAAGAGGGACATTTAATTCACTCTCAAAACACCATATACAAAGATTTTCACCATCTTTTCTTGAACTTTCCCTAACACCACAACAACCCTAAAATCCTCTTTTAACCCTACACCACAAAAGGTAGTCACGTATTATACTTTTAGCGTGTACAATCAGCACCTACTGTAGCCCCCGATAAAACAAAGCTAGGCCACACTCATCATTATTCATCACACATTTTCATCACTCTCCCTCGAAGGACGGCAAAGCGAAATTCCAAGATTAATGTCAACAACATTGCTGGAGGTTTCACCTGTGGGGGAGAATCCAGTTCTTCCTGCAGAAAATATGTTAGGAAAGTTTTGGTTGGGAGTGTCATACCCATGACCCTAAGGAAAACCTAGAAAATGATCCCGAGTCTAGAATCACCTTCTCTGGCAAAGACAACATCGATGTTCTTTTTCACAAAAAAGATGTAGTTGTCATCATGTACAATATGATGATTGTGATATGAAGCGAGTATTGATTGACCCTAGAAGCTCAGTAAACATCTTATTCTAGAGCGCCTCTTAGGGCCTTCAACTTTACCTAGAGGACATCCGAACATTCCAAGGTTTATTGGTTGGTTTTTCAAACAAACATGTGCAGATGAAAGGTTACATAATGCTCAGAACAACGTTTAGTTCAAAGGCAAGCACAAAAATAGTCAAAATAAAATATCTTGTAATATACACCTTGACTCCATACAACGTCATCCTGAGTGCCTCGCCCTCAACTTGTTAGGGTTAGTCTTGTTCAAACTTCAATTAAGCATGCATTATGTGCTACCTGGTGAGAGAAAGTTGGATTGGTTCAGGGAGACCAGGAGGTCTCCCATGAGTGTTATTAGAATAGTCTGGAAATGAGAAAGGAGTAGATCACTCTCACACCCTAATTTTTTACTCTAAGATTCCACGAACTACGGACGCTCTGATTTCTCAAGTTCCTCTTGAGAATACGTAGGAACAAGTACCCGATTCTTGGCGAGCACTTTTTTTCTTTTTCACCCATTTTCTCCTTTTTACACATAGTTTCTGAATTACGATTGATCTGACTTCCTATTAAGGATACGTAGGCATAGGATTACGAGATCCTAGCGAGCTACCTTTCTATTTTTTATACCTTTTTATTTTTCCATCTTTACTCTTTTCTTTGTCCATCCTTACCTTTAGCAAACAATTTTAGCAAAACACAAATATTTCAAGAGGTTCCTGTAGAGTACTACAGATACTTATGGTGCTAGTACCTTCCCTTAGTATAACCAATCCCCGTACCTTTGATCTCTCTTTGCTTAGCTTTAGGCCTTGATTTTTTGTTTCGCATTTCCATTTATGGGTTATTCTTTCTTTTCCCATTCCCTTGGAAATATTAAAGATCGGTGGTGATATTTTATAATTTGTGATTCAAGTTAATTCAATAGCTTGATATCTGATTCTCACCACGACAGAAAATGGCGACTTCACTAGGGACCATTGTTCAGTGGGTTGAGCCTAACTTGTTATATTTGTCTTTCTATTTCTGTTTGCTATTATACTTGTATATTTGTATATATTTGTACATATATTTGTTTGTGCCTGGGTTTTTCCGTATGTAGGGTTGTTACCTTGAGTGGTGAGGATAAGTCATATACCCGGACTTAAGTGCACCTATGATAGGAAGGTGGTATATTCAAGAAGGCTTATAGGGAGTTGATTCCCAACCAAACTTACTTGAGAAACCACAGCTCGGTGGAGGCCCTCTTGGGATTAGTTTTGTTGAACGAGTATTTATGAAAGCATTACTACTTTCAACCTAAGAGTCTGTGATACTGAGGACCTTTAGTTACCCATTTACCCCTTTTTGGCCTTGTTAGGACGTAGTGCAATGACTATGAGGGAGTAGTCCTGAAATAGTTGATATGTGATACTACACTCAGATGAGACTCTCTTGAGATATTATCGACTACCGAGTAGTTGGAAAATTGATAATATCCGAAAGATAGGTTGTTGACACTAGGAACTTTGTTAGAACCCGTTGTGTAGGTGCTTTACTCCTAGTACACACCTCGTGGTTGGTTATTTACCCAGACTCCATGATGTGATCTTGAACCTTTGATCCTTTTATGTGTGTTTTGTATCCTATCTTGCATCACATTGCATTTGCATTTTTGCATGATTCATTATATGCATCTGTTTGTCCAGCCACTCATTTCCAGATGTCTCTATCTTCCAGCATCACCTGTTAGTCGTCAAGCTGATTCCTCGACACAAATACCAGACTAGAGCTAACTACAAACGCAAGAAGTACACAATGCAGAGATCCGAATGAAGATCGATGATTTAAAATTAGGCATGACTAAGCTCACTGAGATGCTCCAAGTCCTGATTTCCAGAGGAGAGCAGTCTCAGAGGACCGTTATTTAAGAAGTTTCAAGAGCTGATCCTCCGCCTGTTCAAATGCCATCTTCAACTTAGCCAAAGTTTGGTTTACCTCATAACTACTCTCCACCTCTTGCATCTACTGCTATGATTGGCAGACTGCTAGACCAGTTTTTTCAAGCTCCTGTATTTGCCGAGCCCATACATGTGATTCACACTGTAGCCCAGACTGTTTAAGCTCTTTTCTTTGATTACAATGGTGCCAGTGCTCAGGGTGAAGAGCATAAAGACTTTGTTGAGCCTGAGGTTGTCTGTGAATAGTTTCAGATCATAGATAAAATACTCAAAGCTGTTGAGGGTACCGACTTCTTCAACTTGGATGCATACAACATGTGCTTAGTTTCTGGCCTTGTTATACCTACTAAGTTCAAAACTCCCGAGTTCATGAATTATAAGGGTCACTCATGTCCAAGAGCCCATTTGGTCATGTACTTTTGAAGGATAACAGCTTATACCAACAATCAGAAGTTGCTCATCCGTTACTTTCAGGACAGTTTGAGTGATGCCTCTCTCAAATGGTATATGAACTTAGAACAGAACAGTATTCACTGCTTCCAAGACCTTGTCAATTCTTTCATGAAGCAATACAAGTATAACCTTGACATGGCTCTTGACCGCCGCCAACTCCAGAATATGTCTCGGAATGAGAAAGAGTCGTTTAAGGAATATGCTCAGCGGTGGAGAGAGTTAGCTTTCCATGTTGAACCCCCTTTAACGGAGAAGGAGTTGACTGGAATGTTCATGGACACTCTATCCCCTTTCTATTAGGAGAAGATGATTGAGACTGTCTCCTTAAGCTTTACAGATCTAGTAACTATTGGCCAGAGATTAGAAGAATGTATGAAGAATGGTAAAGTATCTAAAACTGTTGAATCTTCCAATGGTGCGAAGAAATCCTTTGGAACCTTTCATAAGAAGAAAGAAGATCAGACAAACACTTTCGTGGATAAAGTGAGGAGACCTCGTCCCCAACCTTAGTATTAACACCCTACTATTGCTGCCATTACTCCTGTTGTTGCT